ACAATTCAAACACGAATAGGTTAGCCTGCTTTCTTGTAACATCCATAAAATTCATGAAAATTTAAAACTTTTTCAAACATCAAAAAACACCATTTAATTACAAATTGTTTTCAAAAATAGTTTCATATCATAGTATCCCAAAAATCAAAATCATAAAATGCAAGGAGGTGCATGATCAAGCCTTCGTCTTCCCGTGATCACCCGAAGTACCTGAAACAAAATCCAAAATTGTAAGCCCGAAGCTTAGTGAGTTTTCCCAAAACACAAATGGCATACAATCCATAACCATATCATAACAAACAACATGCAAATAAAGTTTTCAGTATGAGTGGACCGCCCTCGTCGATCCTTCAGTATATCTGGCCCACTCTCAGAACTTTCAGCATGTATGGTCCGCCCTCCCAGTCTTTCAATCTGTCTGGACCGTTCTCCGGACCTTCGGTATAACTGATACACCCTGATGGGTCTGCAGTTGATCCAGACCGTACTGGCTTTATCGGCCTAGAGCATGAAGCAGGACCACTTCAACCCACCCAAAATCATATAATCGTCACATAAAGATCATATGCTAGCTAGCATGCAAAAACAGTCAAAACTGATCTAACATATCACTAATCATATCATTATCCTATATACCAGAATATCAACTTAACAGGTTACCAACATAGTATTATCTTATATACTAGGATACCGACCTAACGGGTCACTAACATAGCATCATCATATATACCAGGATACCGACCTAACAGGTCACTAAGCATATCATCATGCGATTACCAGGATAACAATCCAAAAAGGTCGGCATTGGTGCCATCGACCCTGTTAGTATAGTGAGGACAACTCACCTCACAAGTAGCGTTGAATCAATACGATCAAACCCCAACTCTCGGCTCCCAACTCAACTGACTGTAACCATCATATGACTAATTCCATTAGAATCCAAAATACCCTCAAAAGTCAAACTTTGTCAACTCTTCATCAAAATCAAAGTCAACGGTCAAGGTCAAAAATCCATGTTGACCCAAATCATCGAGTTCATCCACTGACTTGTTAAGTTCCTTCAGAACTCATAAACCGAAAACTCGAGTCAACTCGCCGAGTTACATAAGTAACTTGTTGAGTTCTTCGGTGTCCAGAAGATCGGGAAAAACCCTAATTAACTTGCCAAGTCTTCTCACCCACTTGCCAAGTTTACTCATAATCCAGAAGGCAGATAAACCATATCCAACTTGTTGAGTTGGCTATGCAACTCGTCGAGTTCCTTCATCCCTTTTCTCATTCAGACGCTTTTAAGCGACACTAAGGCTCCAAACTATAGATCTGGCCTCCTAGGGTGTAGTTACCACGTAAAGTTGCAAACTTTACGTGCATGCAAGGCCTCAAGAGGCTAAAACACCCAAAACTAGTCTTATGATGAGGTTTAGGGCATGGAGAAAGGCCAAAGCTTGCTAAAGTCGAGAACTTTATATCAATTAGGGCCTATAGGAGTCCAAATTTGAACTCCTTGCTTCAAAATGTTCTTAATACCATAAATGCCTAAAAAAATAAACTAGAAATGTCCCCAAACTCTTAAGTTAAGAGATCTAACAAGAAAACGATCAAGGTAATGACTTTTTACCATCAAATGAATGCCAAAACAAAGTCGATGTTGGATCTACAAGCTCCTTCTCGTTCCAAGCTTCTCAATCCTCAGATCTCTTCAAGAAATGCACCAAACACACACTTTAGCCTCATATACACTCAAAATAGGAG